ATAAAATTATAAGTATGCCATGAGCATACTTATGAGAATATTCCAGATTTCGTTTTAATTCATTAAAAAAACATCTCGTGTAAAATGTGGTATAATTAGTTTTAAAATTGTTTTTTTTTTCAATTTTTTTTTATAATTATTTTTAGTTCCCTATGACTTAACACTTCTGTGTATGCCTAATTAATGTGCAGTTTTTATTTTATGGCTTTTGAATTAAGTGGTTTGCTGCTGTTCGTTGTACTTAAAATTAAAATCATATTTCTTTGCAATAATTTCAATGCTTCTATGGTGGCAGTTTGTCGCCAACTTACGTCAATTAAATAGATGACTCACTTAAGATACTAAACATTAAGACAAATTATTACTATACCAGAACAATACTTTATTGTCCTACCGTCAGAAATATATAAAATACGTCTCCATATTTACATTCACCTAAACTTATTTTTGATAATGTAAACACGTCTGTGAATTTTAATCTAGAAAGTGGTTAAAGCTACTCGTAACTTATGATGATTTTTTTTGTTACAAAAAGTTCAAGTTTCATTTATAAGTTTCTGCTATTTCCTCAGAAATTCTTTACTTGAGTACTTTATATATTATATTCAATAGATGATTAATAAAAAAATTAATTTAAAATCTCTTTAAAATAAAAAAAAGTCGTTAATACTTGTTTAATTAAAAAAGAAAAGTGTAGTCTATAATACACAAATGGACCGCTGCACGTTGCCAGTTTTTTTTAACTCAAACTGTATTTTCTGCAAAATATAAATCTTTGTTAGCTACCGACACACGCACAGTGCGTCGGTAAGCACGCGGCACCGAACATAACCGCAAAACCAAATAAATAGAATAAAATACACTATTTGTAAGAGATATAAATGAAACTATTAATTTTTACGTATCCCTAATATCTTTAATGTTTCTTTGTTTTACTTAAACTACGGGACGACTTCCATAGGGCTGTTTTCCTGTTAAACTAAATACTTGATAGTAGTAACAAATTCGTAGTAACAATGATGACGTGATCTGGTAATGACGATATTTTGAAAATATTGGTAATGAAAATACTAAACAATGTGATAGTAATGAGTCGTTGGTATATTGCATATAATATAAAAGAAATTGTGCAGAAAAATAACATGTAATTGATATATAACACTAATTTTTGATCTAGACGGCGAATATGTCTAAATAAACATGGTACAATTAGTATATCTGCAATCACTAAAATTAAAAAAAGGAAGAACATTAAAAAAAATACAATTTCAAATATTTAGCCATTAATCCATAACGTAAACTAAATATTCTGCTAACTTAAAAATTACTTACTTAAATTAAAAATTCTGTTGAATGTAACAGAATTTGCAGAATTGCTAGCTGCATTAGAATTTTGTCATAGTAAAATCATTTATTCCCTTTTATAAACAATTTGGAATTTATCAATGTGTTATTTTTAGTTTGTGTATTTATTTGTCTGCTTAATTAAATGAAGAAATATTACTTTTTCTTTATTTTAATTAAGAAGCTATTAAAAGGACTTAAAATTTAATGGGTTTTTTTTCTTCAAAATTATGTCTTTGTTATTATTAAGTTCTAGCTTATACGACGCATGCATTTCTATTTTTTAAATTAAAAGCTTTAACAGACACGCGACCACTTTGAGACTTCAAAGATTCTCATGATATACGGATGAAGACATTTTTAAATTGTGTTATCAAGGCTCTACTTGCAGATCACTGTATGACTTTACTCAGACTATATTCTCCATAACTAGTATGTTTACCACAAACACTTTTATCTAAACGAGACCGGTAGATAAGTGCGATCAAAGCAAAAAGATTCTCGAAATCAATTTGCAAAATAATGAAAAAGTTAAAGCATCTCTGTTTAACCTTTCCAAGGTTACTAAACTACTTAGATAACAGGTTACTAACATTATTATGTCACGAAGCCCCATTACACCAGCGCGTGTACCGCGCTTAACCCTAAACCACCGAAACCATACGAATTCTGTAATCTGTGCGAGTGCGTACATACTTAAATTCACCGCCAGTGCCAGGTTAATCCTATTATATAACGCTCACTGAAATTAGGTTGTTATAGACTCTGGACAAAGCCACTTTAGGATGTCTTAATTAACCGGTATAAAAACATTCAAGGACTAAAATTGGAATATTCAAACTTTTAGATTAGTAAGAGTAGGGAGGGAGAGAGTTTTTATCTATAGGTAATATTATGCACTCGTGAGATTAAAATCTCACTTCGATTTCAAAATCAGAATTAATTTAATTACCCAACAATTTAACAATCTATTCTGGGTCCGTGTCGCCGTTCTATCACACTATTTCTCACAAAGCATTGGAACTCACCTGAAGTTTGACTATTACTATTTTATTCTGTACCTTTATTGCATGTGCATTTCTTAAATTTTGAATAACACCTAAATTATACATTTAGTTTTTACCTAAATTTGTTTATTTCTACAGGTTATTGCCACGTACAAAGTACAAAAAATCCATTAATTTTATCATTATACCAATTTACCATTATACCAATAATTATGTTAAAGTAAAATTTAAAGGTTCAGGTAAAAATAAAGTCCAGATAGTTCTCCCTGAATTGAGGTATCATAACTATGAGCACAGTAGCAAGTGCGAGCAATAAGGACGTCATTGACACGTCCGTTATCGGCTGAACCCTTACGCAATAATGAGTTATGGAGTGGCTGCCGCAGGCGACTCCATAAAAGTATTGAATATGGGTTATTGACAAATATTTATGGCGTATAAAGAGGGGATAATTACAACTCTTTAGCACATAAAAAGCTCCGCGCGGAAGGGTGCGGCGCGCTGTAAAAATTTATCACTAACGTTGTCACCCGGCGGGCTCGACCGACTAATAAAAATGATACATTATAACTCTGGTCTCACAAAAAACACAATCAATATGTGATCTATTAAGTGAAATAATGCGTATGAGTTTATTTAATGGAGTCATTAAATTAAGATATTTTTTTTCAAAAATTGAACTAAGTTTTAAAACCAGCTATGTTTCTATTATACTTATACTATAATTTGACGGTTACATAAGACTGTATAAATAAAAATACAAACCAATATTTCGTAATTTCGATAACATGAAGCTATAAGACTACGACTGTACTTACTTATTTAAACTTTTGTATTAAGCCTAGTATTGTAATTCTGATCACATCACGAGTGCGGTTCGTTGTTCGTCCTCGAAACATAGCGTGGAATGTTATTAAAAAGTTATGGGATAAGCCGGTACGTGCCGCCTGCGACGCCTTCGCCTAATCACAAACTTTAAAATTATCTTATACCACAGACTTTATCTACTGGTCTTATTAATACGTAGTCCTGTTACATAATTACTAATGTTCTATAACTTGAGAAAAACTCTTTGAATATATCTTTGCTGCACTTTTGTGTTAAAACCTCATAAAATGCCTCGTGGTGATACTCGCAAACGATAAAATATTTTGCCATTTTCATTAACTGCTATGGCTAAGTCCAGAGCCCGGCCGGGAATTAATTCCACGGCTAAGTAGATAATGTAAGGAGCTCCCGCTTCGTGCCGCCTCTTCACGCCTCGAGGAGAACTTTCAATTATGATTTTGTCTAATTTTAATTAAGTGCTCTCAAAAAGGCTTTTCTTCAACGAAATTAATATTTGAATATAATTTGGGCGGAGCGGGCGGGCGGAGTTTGCCGCTCGAGGAATAATTAATTCCATTATATAGGTAAGTGGTCTGGTCGCTCCCGAGCCACCGCCCGCGCCCTCGCCCCGCTACACTATACAAACTCGTCACTCACCACCGACTGATTGCTTTTCATTTCTGATATTTAAGAATATCCCTTATCTTCATGTGAGTACATTTTTAGACCTGAGCATCATTCATTACAAAATATTAAGAAATTAAGATTTGAATCATAATAGAAACGAATAGTGTGTCAGGACGCACAATTTGCGCAACAGGTCGGGGCGGAAGCGACCTGCAACGGCGTGATCGCGACCAAATGTTTCCTTTACGACGTTTGGTTTCGTTTTTGCTTTATTTTTTGTCATCTTTCGCTGATAAGTATGCTATCGATAGGTTCGACTTTATGTTTGTTTAGTTTGAAACGAACTCGCGACGGAAGTGATCTCTAGAAAATACTTTTTACATTTCACTTTTACACACATACTTTTGTTGAAAGTAGGTCATTAAGCCTCCTAAATCATTTTGAATGCAAACATTTAAAGGATAATTGCCAAAAAAGAAGTTATGTATCATCACAATTGTATAGTGCACTAGTAAATAGTTCAGTCTGCTGTTCGTAGCTAATGTTAAACTTTCCTTTGTGCAGGTGTCTCAGTAAGGCCGTTATCGACCATGCGTCAAGAATCGCTGCCAATGTTAGCAGAGAGACTACTGGCCACTCGAGCAGCCGCCCTGGTAGCAGGTCTACCGGCTGAGCTCTATTCCGGCGCGTTGCTTGCTGCGTGGCCACCCTCGCCACCTGCGCCTTTATTACCGCCCGCAGAAGTTGAGCGTGCTCGTAAGCGACGCCGCACGCCAAAACTTGATGAAACCTCAACTACTGCACCACCTTCACCACCATCGTCAGGTTCTTCTCCAGGAGCTACAGACCCACCACGTGACAAACTGTTCACATGCAAAGTCTGCTCACGCTCTTTCGGATATAAACATGTATTACAAAATCATGAGCGCACACACACTGGCGAAAAGCCGTTTGAATGTGGAGAGTGTCACAAGCGCTTCACCCGCGACCACCACCTGAAGACTCATCTTCGTCTTCATACTGGTGAAAAACCGTATAGCTGTCCACATTGCCCGCGGCACTTTGTGCAGGTAGCCAATCTTCGACGACACCTTCGCGTCCATACTGGTGAACGACCTTATGCGTGTGCACGTTGCCCTGCGCGTTTCTCTGATTCTAATCAACTGAAAGCGCATGCTTTAGTCCACGAAGGCGATGCGCCCTTTGCATGCCGCTGCGGTGCCCGCTTCAGGCGGCGGCAAGCTGCTGCCCTCCACAGATGCGCTGCTAGCACCGGATGTGAGCCTGACACACCGAGTCCACCAGCGACGAGTGCCCCCGACTGGCGTTGGGATGACTGGCCTGAGCAAACCGAGCCTGAAGACCTGTCGCTGCCAAGAAGACCAGCCACGCCAGATTCCCCCACCGACCTGCGAGTGCACTCCGCGTAGTCGCCGCGCGCCTTGTGTCGCGCGCCGCTGAGCCGGTATACGAGTTCCTCCCGCGTAGACCCCGCGTTACCGTCGGCTCACCGACGCCGATGTTACCCGACTCATTTTTTGTAGAGATACTCGCTGAAGACTCCGTGATTATATTTTAAATCTTTTGCAACATACTAAAATAAAAACCCTCTACTAAAAAGGCAACGGTCACTTTTTTGGAGTATTTTTCTATTATTTCTCAGTAAGACTATACTGACGTTGTAGTCTCGTTAGGTAGTCGTTTATTCTTTCTTATGTTTTTGCATTTGCAATGTTCGCCATAAAAAACACTTTTTTCACCCATGTTACAGTTTTATTGTTGTACTATTTGCATAATCGCTAGGCGAGGTGAGGCAAAAACTTCATCGTTTTGTTCTTTTGTTTCGCAACATTGCTAAACTGCTGCAAGAACATATTGCACAAAAGATATTTTTTGATTTATTGAAGTACAATCATTGTTTTGTCATTAACTTTAAAAAAACATTTTGTTTTGCTTGACGAATATTTATTTGCAATCAGTGTCCTCCTTCGCGTGTTTAACCAACGGAAACTTCGAATGTGGTCTAGCTGGAGAAGGTTGCGACATTGTCTTATTATTTCGGTAACAAAAGCTAGTTCACAAGTAGTAATTATTACGTATTAAGCTTGATACCATGTTCCAACAAGCTGTAGCTACATTAGGCGCGACTCGGCAACCGCAACTATTTTATAAGTGACTTTTCTTTTAACAACACTGGAAAGGTTTTCAGTTATTGGGTATAATACTGGGATTTATTAGGTAAAATGCCAAATAATTCAATTAAGGAGGTTTAATAACAATTGTGTAGAGTTATCGGAGATTTTCTAAGTAAGTAACGATAGATGCGAAGCGAGCTATCTTGAGCGGAACTCGGCGCCGGAGGACGGGCTGACCGTGCGCATCGTGCTTCTGTAAATATAATGCTATCTTTTACAAATTATTTATTATTTATGTATTAGTTAGTAGGCGTTTTGATATCTTTATGGCATCTAATCCGTAAGAAGACGGTTATTGTTAACTCTACGTGTACATATTTATGTAGTAGTTCGTAAAGTACGTTGTAGAGAAGTCGGTGTCACAAAGTTGTATTAAAAGTTATTTAAATTAGATACCGAGGCGTCTCTCAACGGGCTGTGCTGTTTATTAAAATAGTGAGACAAGTAAATGTGTTGATACATGCGATATTTAATATAGGTAGAGCCATCTGGGGGACGAATTGATTTTGTTTAGGTGAATTTATTTGTAGTTATAAGGCAGTCAGATACATATATTTAACGTAAACTTGTAAATATTCTTAGTGTAATATTAAGATCAACTTGTCGCACGAATGGCTCTTGTTATCGCTGTACATTCGTTTGATACGAGATCAGTGTATCAGCATTATTGCAATTTTTGTACGGGTATTAGTTTCCTACTAGATGTAATGTTTATTTTACCATGTTTTAATATAATTTAATGACATAGTAATTGTTCTGAACGTTTTAGCGCACATAATATGTAATTACATAATTTGTAATTATATATAATCTTAGGCTGTACTGTTTGTTGATTATTATTATTTTATTTTTTTAGTCATGTTTCGAAGTGTAGGGTGTTAGGATAAAATGATGTAGACATAATGATATATTTTTTTCCAAAGAAATTATTGGTACAAATATGAATGTGTACAAATTTAAGAGTAACTTTGTATTAGAGTCGTAATTTCATGTTGCAATGTTGTAATAATATGGTAGTTAGTGTAAAGTTAAGCGGTTGGCCATATCTACCTCAGTCTACAACGGTCACTGCGCCAGGGTAAAGAGCCAAAGTTCTTGGATATATATTCTACTGTTCAAATCTGAACATAATGTATAAATGTCAAAATACAATAAGTGAGCATGCTATGTACCATATAGTGAACATTACTATGTGTCATCATAAGGCTTACGTCCCCGTTATATGTCTATCAAAAATGATTAAAGATGCACTTTTAGACTTTCCCAGCAACATGTTTTATAGGGTCTGGTACCTAGCTAGAGATTAACGAACCTGTCTCCATAAAATATACTGACTAATGTGGATTGTCCATTCCTGCCCTGTTTTAAGAATTTGTAAGGCTAAAGGTCCTAAGGAAGGGTCCCTCCTGTTTTAGAAGATTGAGTTTACCTTCTCAGTCATAATCTTCTGTACAGTCGTTCGAACTTGAACATTAGTTTAAGACTGTTTTTTTGTTATTGTACTTATCATTCGTGTGGTAACTACTCGTATAAGGATTTGTCATTAAAATATGTCTATGACTGTACTATTTTCTATTTGTAGAGGTTGAAAGAGGCATAGTTTACTAGAGTCACAAAGATTAAGAAATAATTGCAAACAAATTAATTAGTAAATCGTATAAACTGAACTGATGCAATCTACATTTCTAATTCAAACTATTAATTCAGCCGGTCAACCTCCTTCTTCATGCGTTAACTTTTTTAAGTGACTTATTTATTGACTATACCTACACGCCATAAGCAATTAGGTATAGTACACTCCTAAACATATACTAAAAATGGTTGCAATTAATTTGAGTTCCTATTTAATTGACGATTAGTACTGTTATTTTGCTTCATATTGTTTATAACGGTTAGTTAGCAATGTGTCAACATTTAGTGCCATTCAAACACGTGGATACAGGTCCTTTTGGATTTATAATAGTTAAGAGTATTGTCTGGTATAGTGTAAAATTACTGCCGTAAACTTATCTACCTCATGATAAAGTACAGGTATTCGTTTAAAAACACATAACTTATTTTAAAACTAATATACTTGTACAAAATATTATAAGATAAATGTGACATAATTATGGTATGACGATTATATATGTATTTCTTTATTAATGTCCGGTACATAATTATTAAAATAAAGAGATGTTTGTTATTTATCCATTTTTTTTTGTTATTTAAACCCCGTTGGTTTATCCATCCTCTTAAGACTGCAGGAAGGCGAATGGGATTGGTGTTGGAGATTTCTGCAACTTAGTGACGCGTTACGTACCTATAGGTACGTATGCAACTATTTACTAGAAAGTTGCGATCAATGGACCAACGCTTTCTGTGGACCACCTAAGTATTTCAAAAATTAAGCATGTAAGAACGTGTCAGTCAGTTGCTAGAGAACAGTGTTGAACCCGGTGACTGTCCTTCAAACCTCAGTAATATCGTGCAGGAACGTTTCTGGGAGCACTGCGATATAAAAATCATGCAACGAAAAAATTCGATGTAAGTATTGTAATACTGTTGTTTGATTAATGATAATATTTTGTATTAGGATATTTATCTGTGTTGTGATATAATGCTGAGATTTTTTCCAATTTCGTTCCCTTTTTTAATAGAAAAGGAATTTTTTATTGAGTACCTAGTTGTTATCACTGGTCAACCATAGTGGGAGCTATGAATAGACTGGTCCAATCAAAGAACCTTTAATATACTTTAACTTTTTGCTTAATTTATTTCTAGGATGAGGTCAGATAATAAATAAGTAAACATATTACGCCTGAAGTAAAAATCTGGCATTAAACAAGGCATCTCGTATTTATGGAATTCATGGTGTTTTGGCAGCAGCTTAGGAACACAGACAGAATGGGGAAAAATCATAAGGTTATGGAAGAGATACAATTAAGATCACTTTCATAACCAAATGAGAATATTGAACCTCAAGTTGAATCCTTTATTTGAAATGTCACCTGTGTTGAAAGTATTAACCTTCATAACGTCACCCGACTAAGTCGAGAGGAGCAGAAACAACGGTTAGAGGCAGTTTTTTTTTTATTTCACCATCATGGAGCTGCACAACCAGGAAGTAACAACTTTACATTTTTTATATCGTCATAGAAAATTAGTAGTGATGTGAATATTATTCCTTCAAAAACTTGAAATGAGAGAAATAGAACTATTGCTACATCTGATCCTATTCTGACATCAGCTTATTGATGTTTAGGTGATTCTTATTGTTGCTATTAATAAAAAGGTGATTAAAATTATGTGTTTTAATTAAGTTGCACTGATTGGTCCTTTAATAAAAACGTTTCTAAGTCCGTTGATAGCAACGAGGTAGTCTATTCAATGTCAAAAGAAAGCAACAGTTTCAAAACATTGTTTTATTACTATAGTGCTGAAACTGCTCAACTTTGACCTAAAATAAATACATCATCGTATCCTTTTTAAAAAAATGGATTAATTATTAATCACTCTTATTTAATTAGATATGACACTTTAAAGTTGTGTGGTCCAATCATCGCAACCTTCCCCTAAGAGATCAGAAAGGCTCGAAGTAGAATGAGGCACTCAAACCTATAATATTATTCATATTTGTACCAGTGCGTTATGGAGTGATGGCAACTACAACATATCAGACAGCTCGTGGTGTCGCTAAGCTACTATTGTAATCGTGGTTACAACATTAGGTAATTTTTAGCAATCATTTATTATCACACAGACACCAACGCATAATTATATTTCAATTTCCCTTTTAACGTCCATGATAAATCGGCAAAAGATTTGTTAACTCTATCGCTCGAATATTAACGAATACAACAAAAAAGCTTTTCAAAATCTTTGTCTATCATCGACAAATAAATACACAGAGCGTAGTTCAATAAAACTAATTTGGTGTTAGTGTGCGATAGGCTCTCGTGGAGGTATCTACTAAGTAAGAAAAGTGTGTAATTTATCTAAGATCGGGCGTAAGTAATGAGTTGTCGCACTAATATAACGACGTACTCCGTTCGTCGTACGCATGGGGCACCCACACACACGCACTCATCCGACCCTACTTTGTGTTCAGGGTCGCCTCGATTTGGACTGCTACGAGCGGACTCATTTAGTAAGTGTTCCTTTATTTGTTTTAAACATGGGCGAATTCCACTATAATTAACCCTTTGGTCACGACCTGTATCAAAAGACTTTAATTTCAATCTCAAAAACAATAATAGGAATAGAGTTTTATGGAGCTAAATATGTAAGCCTTATTCACCCAACAATATTTGGGCATTTAATAGTAAAAACTGCAACTGGTTGAAGTTTACGAGATTAACAGCAATTGTTTATTATTCTTTTTTTTTTTAATAAAGTATCAACTCCCGCACTAGGAATATATCCCCCTCGTTCGGGGGACTTTACAAACATTTATAAAAGAGACAAAGAACACCCAGACTCAGAACAAAAATTTGTGGAGCCACGACACTACCACACACTACACTACACAACCACGACACTCAGTGCAGTTGGAAGCAGCGGGGTAACCGCTTAAACCATTATGCCTTCCGTGCAGTCTATCTAGTCTAATTGTATTATACGAGTATAAACTCCTACTCCTAAGGTAATACCCAAGGATATCTAGCAATAAATGGATTATTATTAGTTTAGGTGTTTTCTATGTATAATATGTGTGTATTTACAGAAAAAAAAAAGTATTCTATCAGTCAATCTAGTTTTCATAGTAAAAGCTTTGCTTAATTTGAAACTAGATGGCGTTGTGTGTCAGATGTGCCAAATATTGTTATTATTATTATTCACTGCTCACTTAATAATGTTGACAACACTCAAAGCAAAAGCTAAACGCCAAGCCAGGCACATCGTGTCAAACTGTAACCAATGTCTATAAAGACACTCACTTATCAACCCGATACTCGACCACCTCCTACGCGTGCGTTTGAGATTTATTAATACGGACTTCCATGCATATTCACTTACTTATCAACTTCATATCCTTTCCTTTTAAACACGAGCAGAACTGATGAAGATTATGTATTTTTTTTTAAGTCCACTAGTCCAATCGATGTTGGTATAACATCATCTAGTCTTTATCAAAATAATAATACGAATCCGAGGCCCTAGTGCGATTGGCCCGCGCTAAACTCTACACCAATCGCTGTGCCGAATGTCATTACCGTTACGGTCGAGTAGAAGTGAAATAAACTCACACTAGGCCTTCTCATAGTGTCGCATGTCGGTTCTTAGTATTAGTACACTTGTGAGATCAGCTCCTATCGGCCGGCAACTTTTCGAACATTCTATAGGTACCTACTTTAAAACTCTTAATTCCTTCGGACGGATATCATTAAGTAAGAAATCTAAGAAGATTAATCAATTTCGTAAAATGATGATGTAGTGTTTTATAATATGATTGTTTAAAAACCGAATACTAGTCAACAAGCTGAGGCAGGATTTAATTTAAAAAAAATAAACTTATTAAATCCTACAAATGGCTTTCGAGTCAGCGTTTTACTAATCCTGGATATTACTAATTATGTATACACAAAGCACCAAGCAGATTGGTCTTGTTATGATCTCTTATACTATAGTGAACTATTTAATACTTACATTGATTTTATTTAGCTGAAAAAGTCCGATATTTAAGATTAATGTATCTTCTAAAAGTTAGCCTAACGCTTTACTTTGCGCTTGTAGTTTTGCCATTTTTTGGAGAAAATAATTCGTGAATAGTACCAATATTTTATGCTCATGATTAATAGTGTTTATTTTGTCAGAAATGTACGATATATTGGCGATAGAGACGTTATTCAAGACTCGGCTCACGGCATCGCACCGCATAGCTGCGGAGACAAACGCACTGGAATCCGGTTGGTATTTATTAAATTAATCGTTCACCCCGCACTACTCATCTCCTCACCCCAACACTCGGCGATTAGTTCGTATGTTTCTTGCGATACATCCTTTTTCACTAATACATGTAATTCTAAGCTTCATAATAGAAATAGCAGGAATAGATTAATGTAAATGTTGTTTCATATATTTTGACGGGCTTGTTGGTCTAGTGGTTAATGACCCTGATTGCTAAGCCAATGGCTAAGCAAATGGGCACCCAGGACAAATATTGTTTGATGAGCACGATCAAACGATATAATATGTGTGTATTTAGAAAGACTTAAATGTGTTTAACAGCACCAACCCGTCTGGCCAGCGTGGTATAGTAGGCCAAAACCTCCTTTCTAAGGAGAGGCCTATGTCCAGCAGTGGACTATTAAAGGCTGTTGAAGTGATCAGCAACTTGGTTACCATAGTACCTACAGGCTGTGCCTACTTTGAGAGCAGACAACTGACACACAGAGCAGACAGACAAGTGAGCTGTGTCAGGTTATTTTTTTATTTTATTATTATTTCTATAGCAAACATATCACACACACATATTACTACATAACTTCTGTATTTGAACGTACGGGATTTACCTGTGGTGCAACCTGGAGCAAACGTCTGTCAAATTAACTGAATTGCCTGAAATTTCGACCAGGTTGCACTGCTCACATAATTATATTTGGTGGAAAGTTTCAAATTTAGTGATATCTCTGCTTTATCAATAGCTAATATTGTAAGTAATGCAATAATGAGTAACAAAATAAACAAATAATGTAAACAGTTTAGATTTGGATGCCTTTGCGGCAGTCAGAACTATCTAAACCCAACCCACAATGGAGGGTCACACAACAGTCTTTCGCTGTTTTAGAATATCTGTTATAGTTGTGATCAAAAACTTCTAATAAAGTTATACTATAGTAAATTGACCCAAGTTCCTATATCAAAGAGGTTAGGGTTCTGCGAGCAAAGAACGTACGTAGTTAAACTGTTAAAGTCGTTATTTATCTGTAGAGTAAATCAAGATTAATAGCTAAGTAATAGGCATCTTTGAAACAGTAGTCGCGAAACGTTCGAGGCGGTGAGGACGAGAGCGGGCGAATTATAATTTATTTGGAGAAGTGGCAACGCACCCCGCTCGCCCCGCGCCCGCGCCGCGCTTGCCGCCCGACCTACCCTTTGCTTTCGCCCTTCGTTACGGACGCACTCTCCAAGCGTTGCAACTCGATAATTAACAATTTTATTTTAATTTTTTTTGTGTAATGTATATTAATTAATAATAAGTAATTTTACAGTTATGCTGTATAGATACATTTTACTATGATTATAATGCTTAATTTTGTTCAGTGGTTTTATTAATGGCAAGTATTTTTACTTAATCACTACACCGAACTTAACTGATTTTAGAGAAGTAAGATCAGGCACAAAATACGTTGTTATACTTAAACATATGTAAATAGAGCAGTTTGTTAATAAATGAAATTTCACGTGTTTTTAACTATGCGTAATCCAGCGTTTGAGTGCGTTTCACATCAGCACACACATCAACAGCCTTTAATAGTCCACTGCTGCACATAGGCCTCTCCTTAGAAAGGAGGTTTTGGCCTACTATACCACGCTGGCCAGACACAAAGTTTACTACACATTTATTTTAATTCAAGTAAAAAATATGTTTTATTTATTTCAAATAAATATTTTTTTTTTACTTTTCAACACGTTATTTAATTTATATAGATGAACTAAGCAACAACACTTGGCTTAAAATTATTTCAATAATATTATGTGATTATATAAAATTTTCCCCACTAAACTAATTATGTATAATTTGACAGTTTGAGTCATATATAGAGAATAAAAATAATTATTCTATAAAAACATACAAGAACACGCTTGGAAAGTATTACAATTTAAAACAACAATATAATGTTACTCTAATTTTAGTTATACACTCAAAAGTAGGTAACTTATAAAATAATATTTTAAATCTAAAAGGAACTCGTTTATGAAATACAATGTTAAAAATAAATTATTATTAATTAAGCTACAACACTTTGGTACTGAACTTTATACTTTCTGTTTTTTCTCTAGGTAGGTTGTGTTCAAAGGAGCTGGCGGGGCGCGAGGTGAGGTGGCGGGCACGCGGGGAGAGGCCGGAATTAAGAGGGAGTCGAGGGGGGGTGCGGCCCGCCCTGGATACTGAGAGGAGTTTTAACCAATTAATTTTGTTCCTCAACGCAAACTCCGCTATATAATAAGGTATAAGTAGGCATTAACTGAGGCGCGCCGATAGCTAGGCCGGCGAGCCGCGCGGCCGGGGGCGACTCCGTCTCCTAGCCTCTTATAACGATGTTTTATTTCTTGTTAAGCTCTCTGTTTTTCCACTTTTAATATTTAATGGCATTTTCATAGCTCATTTTTTATAGCGCACTTACAAATTCCTAACATTATTGATGTTGTTTTATAGTCAACTTTGTTGTGCCATTTCCTATCTTAACGATTTAAGCGTTGCATATCATTTACATACATTTGTTCGTGTACTTCGTTCAAAACTTCGTGTATTTTTAGTTCACTCATTCTTATTAGATTTAGTGCAAAATTATCCGCGTATAATGTGCGATCTTCGGAATTAACAGAATATTCTACCTATATCATAGTAAAATAATAATTATGACTTTTATTAGTTGTTTTCGCTTGACAAAACTCTACTGATGTGTCTGTAAGTCTATTCACACATTATTTTCTCTAAGTGTACAGCTAGCCATATTAAAAAAAACCTGAACATCATAGCACAAAATGAATGAAAAAACTATAAATGAAAAACACAAACACATTTTAATTATAGCAAGAAAACGTATTGCCAAGTGCTGAAACTGAAGAAGTATGGCGATATTATAAAGCTAATAGCAAGAAAATAAAACAAAATAAATTTATTCCGAAAAAAGTGACTTTTAAAAAAAAACGTAAGTTGTATATCTACGGGAAACTTCTTTTGCGATTAGATCTCTCATTAACCACATCATTTTATGTTTTAAATCAAGATTATATTTGACTTATAGGTGGTATAATAGGCCAAAACCTCCTTTGTGAGGATAGGCCCATGTCCAGCAGTGGACTATTGAAGGCTGTTAATGTAACAAGAAAAAACAATTTTTAGAACATTTTGAGACAATGTTCCAAATTTCCATCACTACTGTCACTGGACATGTGCCATTACGTTTATTTGACTCTTTATAACATAAAATGTCAATTTTTAATGCCATGCCACCATTTACAATTTTTTTCACATACACAACCTAATGTAAAGTCTACTCAAACCCATCATAATATATAATCAATAATATTATATAATTCAAATACAAATAATTGTCACACGTGGGGATTGAACAACGACACTTGACAAGGTGACCGTCCTCGCAGCCAAGAATTAAAGCATTTCGAATAGTTGAAAGGTAGAAGGTAATAAAAACACCTTAATTTTTTAATCATTCACTTTATAAAAAGGTTGTTTTCATTTTTATTGCCTTAACCTACATTAATGTCAACATTAACGCAATCTAAGCTTAAGTTTATTATCCACATAATAAACATTCACCAAAGTAACAAGGTCTGCGATAATTCAAATAAAACATAAGTTTGTTTATACACTTTTTTAGCTTATTGGATAAATTGACATCGTCATATGTACATTCGCGGTACAGTAGTATGCAACACCTGCCTCTCGTGAAAAACATCTCCTTTGTCTAACGAACCATATGTCTCGACTTCGCTCGTGCTTCACCCACCTCCTTTCCGCTCCTAACACATAAACACAATGTACATGTCTGAGACAAAAAACAACACTTCTTCCCCTTTACCAATCCGAGACTAAACACTGGAAAGTTGTGTATCCCATTTACCAGAAGCGTTGAGATTTAAAAATAAGATCCGACACAAAAACACTAGTGATCGCGCCTTGAGCTCGCGCCTCGCGTCAATATGACGCACTTAAAAACAATTCTTAACAACGGTATTGTGTTGTTAAAAAATAAGAACGCATCACACGAAAAAACAAACCGCAGACTACGGTTAAAAAACAGAATGCAGCACGCGAGCCAAGCGAGACACCCTTTCCCTTTTGCGCGTCGCGCGCTAACATTTTTTCTTTAAGCCGTGTGAGGGTTGTGTTTTTTACAGCGATGCTACGTATAAATTAATAACTGAACGTGCTCATAATCTGCTGTTCGGAACACTTTCGGCTTTGTTATTATTATTTTTTAGTCAACTTGGCATTCATTTGTTTTTGTGTGCAATGTGGTGGCGTTGCGGTGGCGGAAACGAACCCGCTCTATTGATTACGTCCGCAACGTGACAGGTGTTGCACATTGTATCTAGACTTAATATAAAGACGTTGCATGCATTAATTTTTAAGTTCAATTCAGTATTCCTACATTTAAAAGCAATACCTACAATTAAAAGAACAGAGGATCTTAATAAAAACAAAACACTTTGGTAATGTTATAAAGTGGTTAAAGTTTTGCTTTTTTCATGAACGTCAGTATCAGAGATATAGTCGTGTACATGTATTTTAAAACAACTAATTAAAGTGTCGACACATGGTGTAGTGAATTTTGTGACAACGACATTAGGTAAAATGTGATATATTTTTTTTTAAATTTTCCTTACTAAATCTACTAGAACTAAAGTTTAACTCTTTAAAAACAATAATTCAAAACGGATATTTTGTATTGCAAAGTTATATCGCAATTATTATTAATAAAGTGTGAATTCTCCAAAGCTGATCTACAATAACTGTACAGTTTGTTACACAAATTTTAGGAACGCTATGGGTTTTTCATTTAGTACGGTAGTAGTATTTTTTTTCATCTGTGACAGCACTATCTCTTGTGAATAATTAGCTTTATCGCTGAATGTTGCAGTTCTATTGTTAAGATTTCTATATTAAAAATTATCACTTTTCCGAAGCGTATTATATGATCACATCTTCTAACACAATGTACCGTATATAATATATACCTATGCACCGAAATGTCATTTAATTTACAAACATTTTCTCAGTTACTTTAGATATTTTTTGTAATATCCTTAAGTAGGCCGAAAGACGCGAATACCGGAAGACAGCAGGACGGATAGGCTAATAGTTCTTAAAAAAACGGTTTTTGTTAACATTCCATAGTTATTTTACGGTGCTGCATCCGTACATTTTCCGTCTGCGGGTGTTGCTTTAAAATTAGCGAATATCTGTGAAGTATATTTTAATAAAAGTAGTCACTTCAAATTTTGTAAAGAGTCTCGTGCTTATGAACTGACTCAGTTGTACAACAAAGACATGAAACTGATATGTATTAAACTAGTATCGTGTAGTTATTATTATAGCAATCAGGAAGGATCAGGTTTTAAAGGAGCTGCAACTTCAAATGACATTAATTTCTGTTGAAACTAATTTGGATTTGCTTTTAGTGTCGATAAGTAAATACAATTTTGCATTTTGCTAAAACATACGTGTCACATGACCTTACCGAGTTAAGAAATGCGCATACAATTCTGAAAAGTCACTTGAGAGATCTTAGCAAACATTGAACGAAAAATAATTTTACTACGTAACTATTTTCGTCTACAAATTAGTATTATTTTGATTCGTTTTTAGAGACAAACAGGTAATAACAGTATTTTTACAAACTTGTACTTACTAATTATGGGTAAATGTTTTATTCCTTTTTTTTAGTAAGATATTAAAAAGAGCATTATATTTTATTGATGAATTACCAATTATAACCGGAAACTCTAATCTATAACCTTCCGCGGCTGGTCACATGGGCAATAATAAAAACCACTAGGACAATCACCAATCTGAATACCAGGCATCTTAATTACAGTAAACTATCCACAATTCTTAATTAACTAGGTGTAATTTGCAATAAACTTTTTGCAACTGCATACACATAAAGCAATTAGATACAGAACATTTTGTCATTTGTTTCTTTTTCATGACCTTTTAAAAGTATTCCTTCTATAATTGTATTTTCAGAGACAATATTTTTTCTAAAGGTCACAAAGAATACTTCGATTGTGAATAGAAGAAATCATGAGTTTCTAAGCAAATATCTACTTATGAATACATTGGACACGCATTGTAAGTCGAATCGTTGCACGTGTGAGGTATTTTCGAAGAGTTTTTTTTGCATTGATGACAATAAATTATTGCGCTCTGTTTACCCTTTTTGAATTTAGATACTTGAAAATATAAATGTGTGGAGAAGTGTTGGTTTGACATAGATAGTCATTTTGTATTCAGTCAATATCATTCATGAGTTATTTCACGACCAATCGATTTATATTAATGGCAAGACTTTCTACATAGGATGTGAGGCTACATTTTCTTCAAATGTAAAAATAGTTTTGCCTATACAAATTGTTACTATAATAAATAAACCATTTAACAACAAATACTACGTTTTAAGCTTACGCGTTCTATGACATATAATTATGTTATACAAGTGCTTGGAATGTTGTAATACATGTGCAATGTCGTAATACCTGTTTGTAGCGAACAAGTCCGTGGCTGACTATGTTCTGACTGATCAGGCTACTGGGAACGCTACAAATAGGCGACGATGCGTATAATTTTTATTACACTTACATATAAATTGTCAAATTAAAATATTAGATAATAACAAATGGTTTTAAATATAACATGCTTTATCTAGGCAATCGCTAGAGGTATGATAACCTTTCAAAAATGACCACTCTTTTCGCAGTTACTTAGAGAGGCCTGTACTCTGCACTTATGACTTATAATTATTGAAATTTATTCTTTATTATTATTGTGTATTATAATTTGTACACGTTGAAGTGTATCTAGTGTGTAAAATATATAGTGTCTTCCCACTCAAGATTGAAGTAACTAAAAAAAGTCCACCCGCGCCTCGTCACGCAGCAGCGGCAGCGTTTATTTTGATAGTGAGTTCGGGTAACCGCCGGCCATTGTCGATGTGACGTTTCATTATTGATTTTTACGCTAAATGTTACCTTTTTGAAATTCCCATTCAACGCAATCATAGCTTCCTTTTACGTTTTTGATGTATTTAATAGCCAACAAAAGAATGTATTTGATGTATCTGTACAATATCATTAATAACCCGTATGGTACTTGTCGCGATTCGCGTATCATTCTTACACACATACAATCGTCTGATGCACTATGTAAGTATTGCAAGTCATTTTATTCTATTCGAAATATATTGATACTCAGTGA